GTTGTTAAAATGAAATGTCCTCCTATATATTAATAAATCCTGAAGAAAAAAAATCTTTAGTTTACATAGGAATAAAAACAACAATTGTTTTCAATATTGGTAGTAAAAATCTAGCATGAGCACCAAACGTAGTTCAGAATAAAAAATAAGGATGCATATTAAAATGATATTAGAAGGATCAAATGAGGAGTTAACATGGTTATACTACAGTTGAAGGCCCTCTTGTGAAACTAGTATTCTCTTAAAAATATTTTCCAGGTGCTGTGTAATGCAGAGAATATTTGTTTTAACACATTATTAACCATAATAATTTTCTAAAACTCTTTGCCATGATGACATCATATTTTAGTAGTTATTCAGTAGATTTTCTTTTAGTAGATATTCAGCTTGAAGTACAATTTAAGTTCTTTAGTTAATTAGGCAAGTCATTAGCTAACAGTGGTTTGCTATAGCCAATCTAAAAAAAATATTGATCTTAAAAACAGCTTTGTAAAGATTAAGTGAGTAATGTGCATTTATGCAGCAAATTTGTCGTGTATGGCCATACATCCAAAGCACTTCACAATCATGATGAGGTGTGGTCTCTCCACACCACCACCAGTGTGCAGCATCCACTTGAATGGTGCGACGACATAGGACAACAACACTAGTGCGCTCACCACAAGGGCTGATGGAGGGAATTTGGCCAGAACACCGAAGTTACAGCTCTCCTCTTTAGAAGTGACATGGGATTTTTGGTTTAACATCTAATCTGAAAGAAGTGCTCTCTGAGAGTACAGTACTCCTTCTCCTTCTAATAGCAACCTAGTTTTCTCACGTGGTCTTCCATCCAGGTACTAACCTGTCACGGTTCATGGGTTTGTGTGTTCTTTCTGTATGTTATGTGTCATGCCTTGTGTGTTGTCGTGTGTAAGGGTGTGTGCTTGTTTACCTTTTTGTGTTGCTATCGAATCAGCTGACTTAATCATCCTCCAGCTGATCCCTGTTTCACTGGCTATTCATTTCAGCCTGTGGTTACTGCTGGTTATCAGTCCGTTGTTTGTCTTTGTTCCTGTCTGTTGTCTCTCAGGATTCTTTGTAGTCTGTTCGTCGGTTGGTGTCTTCGTTTGGGCCAGTGGGCTCTCTTTTGAATGTTTCATTGTCTTCTAAACATCTTGTATCCTTTGATACATATTTTTCATTAAAAATACTTGCAATTGGATCCTCTCTGTTTGGTTTCGTGACACTAACCAGCCCTGATTAGCTTCAGCTGTCTTGGGCTGCAGGGGAATTAATTAGGGATTAAGAATGTTTTTATTTTATCTAAAATAAAATAATTTTTCCAGATGAATAGTTATAGGAAATACTGTGAAAATATGGGAAATATTTGAAAAATAATACAATTTTCACATGAGGCCCAATTAATTTTCATAAATGCAGCTGTAATGAACAGCCTTTTGTGTTCCACATAAAAAATACCACAAAGATTTGAAGAGTCTTAAGAGTGTCTCGCTAACAGCTTCTTTAAATATACCATGCTGATTACATGCAGAGATTAATGTGAATAAAGAAAGGAATAGGAAAAATCCTGTCTTGGAAAAAAGAACTAAGCGTCTGAGTATAGCTTGCAATCAAGCATAAGCTCTAGACAGCAGATATTGTGATCTTTTTTTAGATGCCATGTCTATAAAACAGAATTTTCTCATATTCCACAGCAATTTACCAGGTAAAAGATGTTGGATTTCAGACTGCAGAACATGTTAAAACAATGCTTGTCAAATGCAATTACTGTTCAAAACTGTTTAGTATCTTAAGGCACTACTTTGGAAAATTATACTTGATTGAGACTAATTCTGAAAATTGGAGATGTTGTAACAAACTTCATGTTCAGAGAACACTTAATGATACGCTATGTGGCACAAATCTTCCATCGTGTGTGCAAAGGGATCTTCCATTCAACCTTTCCGCCTTCATATGCATGGTATAAAATCATATATGGGCTAAACCATACAGTATGTGTTATTATGTAAAGATTTAGGAGCTGTTGCCTGATGATCATACCTCTAGACCACTCTAGTGTTGTAGAGGCTATGATTAATTGGGTGTGCACGTTTCCCATGCAACCAAAAATAAATGGGGAAAAAATGAAAAGATCCAGCAGCAGCCTCAGAAAGTGAGAAAGAGAGAGCTGTGTGAGAAGACCTAATTTAAGGAAATAAAACATGATGAAAGGACCATAATGGGACGAAATGCGCAGAGATGAAGATGCTGACAAATCCGAAAGCATTCACAACCATGCGTTTAAAGCAAAATATGCGCCCCCTTCTGGACGCCTTGTGAAAGATGTATTTTCCAGAACGTCTTTTTATACATCCTTTATTAGCTGTTTCTGGGTGAAGCACTTACAAAAATACACACGTAAAAAACCATAAACTTGTTTGGCCTGAAATAGTACATTTTATGAAAGCCTCACACACTCTCCGAACAGACAGGCTGAACAAACAGAGTCCAATGTGGCCCCTCTATGTGTATTTTTCTCAAGGAAAAGAGTTAAATGTGTTCTCTAATGGTCAGACGCATTTGGGTTCATCGTGTTTGTTGTTATGAACAGCAGGAGGGTTTTCGTTTACCACACTAACCTGCTGAATCCGTCTTCCCCGCAAATTTTAGTGTTTATTTTCTGGGAGAAAATCAAATGCACCAGACAGTCCTGAAAACTGGGGAAGACGACCAAGTAAAGATGCATCTGGAAAGTGAATTCACTGCTTCATTAGCAGTTTTGTGATGACTGATGTGAAATAAAATAAACAAAAAAAATGAAAAAAATGAACATTTATATGTATGAATTTTATACTCAGTATAATCAAATAAAGAATTAATAATAATAAAATAAATAATATATTTCAAATATATGAATTCAAAAACTGCCACCTGAATTTATTTAATTAACATTTTATTATTAACATCTCAGCCTTGTTTATGTTCAGTTATTTCACTTGCAATGACAAGAACCTGTTCTTGGCCATAAAACTGAAAATGTTGCACCAGACACAAGTCTCTGAGAAAAAAAAAAGCTCTTTTATGGAAGAAAATTTCAGATTACATGCACTGTAAAACCCAAAAAGTTAAGGTAACTCAAACCGTTTAAGGAAACCGAATGCAACAAACCAACTTAATCAGTAAACGAAGCAATTAGAGCACAGTAAAACCCAATAAATAAAGAGAACTCAACCGTTTGAGCAAACCGATTGCTACAAGCCATTTGAGTTAAAAACAAATCTATATAAGTACTTTCAACTTACTCCATTTAAGTTGAAGTAATGAGGTATTTAGTTAACTCATTATCTTCAACACTGAGTTCAAAACTCTTTTCAAATGAGTAGAATTAACTTTCAGTAAATTTTGAGTTAACCCAACTCATTTCATTTGATAAAGTTGATTGTTGGGTTTTACAGCATATGTTTATGTTCAGTTATTTCACTTGCAAAGTGAACCTGTTCTTTGCCTTAAAAGTGAAAATGAACCAGACACAAGTGACTGAGAAAAAAATGCTCATTTTATAGAAGCAAATTTTAGATTACATGACTTTATATAAATTATATGTTATAAATATATCATTATGAATCATATACATTCATTTTTACTTTTATATCTACACTGTAAACCCGATCAGTTAACGCAAACTGTTTGAGGAAACTGATTGAGGTAAACCATTTAAGTTTTGAAACAAGAGTACTGTAAACTTAAATGTTGTGTTACAAACATATATATCATTTCTGTTGATATCATCAAACTTATAGATATTAGTAAGCATTAGATAATATTCAGTATTAGTAACTTAAACATTTTAGGTTCAGTTATCACATCACTATTAGTTCAATTAACTTAAATAAATTAAGTCTATACAACTATATATAGATACTCAAATGGTTTGGTGTTCCTTCAGGCATTTGAATTAAGTTAACCCAAAAATATAATTAATGAATTAATTCATAAATCATTCAATTAGAGTTCTTCTTAATATAATCAGTTTGAATGACCATAACTCTTTTTTTTTCATTGAGTCAAAGTAACTTTTTAATAAATTATAAATTAAACTAGCTTATTTTATCTAGTTTCTCAGTGATGGGTTGCAGCTGGAAAGACATTTGCTGAGTAAAACATATGCAGGATAAGTTGGTGGTTCATTCCACTGTGGTGACCCCAGATTAATAAAGGGACTAATATAATAATTTATACTTGTTATATCAAATGACTAATCATATATAAATATATATTGTCACTGTAAAAAATTCTATGATAAATTAGCCATGACAGCATATGTTTTAGTTCATTGTAACTTATTCAACTGTTAATCATGTTCTAACTTAATTTTAAGTTATTCAAGCCGTTTTAAGTCAGTTTACAAAATATAAGTTCAATGGACTCATAAAGTTAATTTGATTCAGCTTAAAAATTATATATATATATATATATATATATATATATATATATATATATATATATATATATATATATATATATATATATATATATATATTGTATTTTTGTATTTAGTTTTTTTAATTTAAGGCAAAGATGTTTTTTTTACAGTGTAGTTATATAATAAAAAATGTAAATGTATAAATGTAAACACAATGCTAAAACATAAAATCTAGAAAATCCCTAACTACATACACTACATGAATTATTGTTTACATCATGTTCCTAAAATGAACAGCATTACACACACATCACACAACTTGTCCATACCCTAAAAATGACATTTTTCATGCCAAATATAGGACTAAAATGCATCTTTTGCAGCTTTGAGGGGAGCCTAACAAGATCTAATCATGGGTCTAAACACTCAAAGCAAAAAGCCATCCTGAAGTGACATGCCAACAGTGGGCAAATCTGCCTGGTAATTACAGCCCAGCAATGAGAGGGGAGGTACTAGTGTGGTAGGTGCTTTTTTAATGATGCAAGGGCCAGATATGGTATAAAAACCCTCATCATTGTGCAAGGCAGCAGCAGATCCTGTCTGGCTCATACCACAAGGATATTCAGAAGTGGGAGCCACGGCTGACTTTTTTTTATTTATTTGGAACCCAAGTATGCCGGTAGGTGTCCATTTTTTTCTCTCTTTGGATTTTGAGAGACTGGGCCATAATATTAAGGGATATCTCTCCACTTTGGGTGGAAAATGAACAGTTAACATGATAATTTACATTATATTTAAGTAAAGTTTTCAGTTTATTTTTTAAAACTGTTGAGTTAGTAGATATCTGATCCAATCAAGTGTTTTTGGAGTGTATCTGCAGGTGCAAAATAAAGGATGCTTACTAAGTTAAGCTTTAAACAAGCTATTATTAATAGAATCATAGTTGATATCATTGCATATGATTATTGTTTATGAGAATGTTCCATTAGAATTTTCTACATCATCACTTATAACTGTTGGAATTCTGTTTCAGATTTGACCTCAGAGAATGGAACTACGAGTAGTAAGCATTCTTCTTCTCCTGGTGGCCTTGACGGCTGCCCATGGTGAGAGATATGTTGTCAAGAAGGTGATGAAGGCCCCGCAGTACCAGCCTTACTCCGTGAAAAGCCATGGTATGTGTTTAAATTTGAAAGATGATTTTCTTGGCTCTCGGAAAAGCTGTGTTTCTGTATATGTTTTATGTAAAGAACACAACAATGATGTGTGTGCATAGCAAAGCAGCTCGCTGATTGGTTACCAATGCATACTGCTTCCTCCAATAGCATGGGTTGTAATATTTAAAGCACAGATTTGCTGTATGTAAATTGCTTCATACTAGAAAGAAAGACATGTTAAAGGGATAGTTCACCCAAATCATCATTTACTCACCCTTTACTTTATAAACCGGCTTTAGCTTCTTTCATCTGTTAAACACAAAAGAAGGAAAGCTGGAAACATGTAGCTATTGACTTCCATAGTATTTGCTTTTCCTACAATAGAAGTCAATGGTTACCGGATTTTAGCTTTGTTCAAAATATCTTCTTTTGTGTTCAACTTAATAAAGAAGTTTGAGGGTGAGTAAATAGTGAGTATTTTCATTTGTGGGTGAACTATCCTTTAAAACAGATGCATCATACTAAAAAGTTTATTCCGATTAAATCCTGGAAGTCATTTTTTAAGTTTTAAGGAGTGAAAATTGCATTGACATTCAAATATTATATATATCTTTTGTATGCACAATAGATCTATGTCCACTAAATGATTCACAAACTAAAACTAAACTAAACTAATTTTGCTGAACACCAAGATAAAAGATGTACTGTATGAGGTATATTTATGTAATGTTTAAATGCTTTTTATTTATAAAATCTGCAAAGTTCAAATATAATCAAGTTTAATATTTTATTTATTTAATTATTTTATTCAATCTTTTTTGTTAAGTGTATGCATGTCAAAAGCAACACAAGTGTTAAGAAGTAGTCTGTAGAGGCATGTTGAAAAGTGATTTGTCTGGGTGTGTCATGGCAAAATCTAGACACATCTGTTTTGGTTCATGAAAGCTGTGGCTCTAAGAATGACCTTTGGTATGATGCAGTTTATAAACCAATTGATTTGACCACATGAAGGCAATTATAAAACTGAAGCCCTTGCCGTATGAGTGCAGAAGCGGGACTAGATTCTTCAGTGAAATTGCAAAATGCACTACAAGAATGTAGATTGTAATGCAATGAATATTTAGATTTTTTTATTTATGAAATGCATGTAATACTAGATTTAAAAAACTTAAAACTTTGGCTTCTAAATTTAAATCAAACGTTTTTTTTCATTTAGTTTATTTATCAAAAAAATTATTTTAAAAATTGTAAATCGCAGGAAAAAAATCTGAATACTTTAAAACCATTTTAATGAAGATTTTCTTATTGTATTTAAAGTTTTAAGTGATATCTAAACACTTTTATGAAACATGGGGCTTGAATAAAAAGGCCTTTTTTGAGAATCTACAGAACATACTGTGAGTGCATCCTTATACTGACTCCCTGCTTTATAGAAAGATAACAACTCTCTTAAAAACACTTGTGACAATTTTCTTTAGTAAAACAAGTTCTAAGACAGAAAAGCATTCCGTTTTTAATAGTGATCTGAATTTTGAATATAGCACAGACTGTCTAGAAATTTTAAATATTATCACTTTTTTATTATAGTAGTATATTGTACTTTTGTATTTTAATGTTATTATTGTATATTATTTTATTGTACTGTAAATTGTGCTTTTCTAATCATTGAGTATCATGGCAATATAACTTGTTTCACACACTTTATATTTACATGAAATATGTTCCCCCTATATGAAAACATTAATTGAATTCAAGTGATATGCATATTGATTGTGACTATTGCAACTGATATAATTCTTCTTTTGTTCCAGTTGTATCTGTAGCAGGAGAACCAGGCACCCCTGGTGAGCCAGGACCGGCTGGACCTCCTGGCCCACCTGGACCTGCAGGACAAGATGGTGAAGGTCTGCCAGGGCCACAGGGACCTCCTGGAGCACCTGGGCCTGCTGGGTATTCAGCACCTGGAAAACCTGGTTCTCCTGGTGGCCCCGGAAAACCAGGAGCCACAGGTGCACCTGGACTTAAAGGAGACACTGGTGCGCCTGGTCTTCAAGGCCCAAGAGGCATGCCTGGTCCTTCCGGTAGTCCTGGACCTGCAGGCATTTCTGCAACAGGCAAACCTGGACCAGCAGGTCTGCCAGGTGCAATGGGACCACGTGGTGAGCAAGGTTTTAAGGGACATCCAGGTATTCCTGGTCTACCAGGACAAAAAGGAGAAATGGGGGTTGGGGTTCAGGGGCCAGCAGGTGAGAGAGGTCCAACAGGACCAGTCGGACCTTCAGGGAAACCTGGAGCGCCTGGAGTTGGTTTACCTGGCAAACCTGGAGCTCCTGGTGAAGCAGGCAAATCAGGCTCACCTGGCCGTGATGGGGAATCTGGGCCCATGGGTCCACAAGGTCAAAAAGGTCAAACTGGGGCTCCTGGAGTTGGAATTCCCGGCAAACCAGGTGAAAATGGTGCTCCTGGTATGCCTGGCCCTACTGGTCCCAAAGGTCCACAAGGTGCATCTGGCGCTCCAGGTGCTCCTGGTGTACCTGGTTATGGAAAACCAGGTGAAAATGGTCTAAAAGGTGACAGAGGAGTACCTGGTAGTCCAGGAACAACTGGTCAGAAAGGTGAGCCAGGTGCTAAAGGGCACACTGGATATCCAGGTTCTCCTGGTGCTGTGGGTCCAGCTGGTCCTCAAGGTGCAAAGGGTTTCCCAGGTGAAAGGGGGCAAGCAGGTGATAAGGGTGAACCAGGTCCAATGGGACCACCAGGGCTAAAGGGGCACAAGGGAGAACAGGGAGCCCAAGGCATTGAAGGCAAGCAAGGTTATCCAGGGGCAACAGGTCAGCCAGGTCCAAGGGGAGCAACAGGTGCTCCTGGAGCCAAAGGAGAGTTAGGTCATACAGGTGCTACTGGTGCCCCTGGAACACCTGGATCTGTTGGACCAAAGGGTCATCCAGGGTACCCTGGAGCAACAGGTGAGAAAGGAGAACAAGGAGCTCCTGGAGCAAGAGGTCCTGTTGGCCCAGCAGGTCCTGGAGGCCCACCTGGCCTAAAAGGTCACCCTGGTATTCCTGGGGCACCTGGCCCTGCTGGTTTGGCTGCAAAAGGAATTCCTGGACCTCAGGGTCCACCTGGTCTTCCAGGATCTGAGGGACCTGCTGGAATTCCAGGTCCTTCTGGACCTCCCGGCCCACCTGGTCCTCCTGGTGAGGTCATCTTTGAGAAGGCTCAGGGTGAAACTGCATACCCAGTTCTTGTCAAAAGTCCAGTGTCTGCATTTACTGTTGCAACTGTGACACCTTATCCCCCATCTGGTACTCCAATTAAGTTTGACCAGGTTGTGTATAACGCAGAGCAGCATTATGATCCAGAGACAGGTATTTTCACCTGCCACATTCCAGGAATTTATTACTTCTCCTACAGCATGCATGTGAATGGAGCTAATGCTTTAGTGGCACTTTATAAAAATGGTGACCCAGTCATGTTCACTTATGATGAGTACAACAAGGGATTTGTGGACCAGATGTCCGGTAGTTCTGTACTTCAGCTCAATGAGCAGGACACAGTTTACATGCAGATCCCCGATGATGAGGCTAATGGTGTCTTTGCTGCCGATAATGTCCATTGCTCTTTCTCTGGATTCCTGATTGCCTCAACGTGATAAGGTGACCCATCCACATCACATCAAAACATCACTATTTCTCAAACAAAATTTCCTGTTCTGCAAACATGATGCACAACAGACTGTGCTATTGTTCTGAGAAATGCACGCATCTCAACTTGAAAATGCCAAGCAGTGGTGCCTAAAAGAAGGAAGTAATTTATGTAATGTTATCAGGGATAAAAAGATAGTTAAAACCTTAAAGATTTCAATTTTGTGCGGAGAGTGCATGTGAAGTTGTGTCCTGACAATTTCACATCTTTTCCTCATTAGTTTTTTTTTTTTTGTTGTCTTTTATTGTATTTTGTTTCCTTGTTACTGTCAGTGTCTACTTCAACTTTGTGCCTTATTTTTTACTGTTTACTGTTGTCTTTATAGTCTCACTGATTAAACTAAGAGACTGCTCTTCCTGACATCCTTATATCTGACTTGAATATTGTGAGATGGTGAAAATGCGAAAAAACAAACTCACAAGCAAATAACATCTATAAATGTTATCCCAAATGATTGATTTTGCTCTGTAAACCATTATGGCTGAAATAAAAAAAAACATTTCCTAAAGAATTCTTGTCTGTGTGTTGTTTACATGTGCTGAATATTTTAATGAATTGTTTATTGTGATTATTTAAAAACAATAACTACTAAGTGGTCTACAATGTACAGCAATTTACAATAGTACAAGTATTTAATAAACCTCTTCTGTGTTTTGGTGGTTGCAATAAAAAAAAACTGAAAACTCAACAACTATTTCAGTAGATTTAAAAATAGTGCACTTAAAAATGGAAGAGGGAATTAAAGGAGCATGCTTTGATGACTGTGTTAACTTCACCAAATAGATGTGGGTTAGGTGGAGAGACGAGTCAAACAGAAGCCGCTGGGTGGAGGCAATCAGAAACTGGGAGCCACAAGCCACAGGCAGGCCCTGCATTTGGAGGGTTTGAGGGATGTGGTTAGATAAAAAAAAATGAAGTAAATGAAGACAAGAGCACCTGGAGGGTGAATTCGTTACCATCTGGGAGAGCCGAAGTGGGAGCTACAAGTTTAACATTGCAATATAAGATGAACATCCATCATCTAAACTAGGAACAGGAATATTGGGTGAAAGCACACCCATCATGTGGTTGCTAGATTAGTGGTGCAGTTCATCTTGGAGCATAGAAAATGGATGGTTCTAAATTACCCTTTGCATCTGTGGTAGGCTAAAAACATCCGAAAAGTGTCTGTTAACGTTTATTTTTTTACTTAGAAAGCATTCGACTTTTCTTGGCCTTTAGAAATACAGCAATTACCAGTGGTGAGGGTAAACACAGAAATCTGAGTAAATCCTTAATCTTCTATCAAATGTAATTGTTTTCATTAGGACAATTTGGCACATGGCTCTATATGCTGCTAAACTTTTTATGAATACAATGATCTTTCCTCAGCTATGTTTTTACGCTACAAGTTGGTCCCACACGAACATTACAACACTGAAAAAGGGCCTTTTGCTACTTGTTCAAACTACTTATTTAAAATGAGTTGAATCAACACAACTCTTAAGGTTTTTAGGGGACGGTCCACTTAAATTTGTAAAAACGATGATGGAATGAAAGAACTGTGTGGAACCCAGCATTTTTTATACTGAACATTAAAACCATTGAATATTATTTATAAACAAACTGTAAAAATTGTAGCTAAAAAGTCAGGGAGCTATAATTACCGTAACTGTATTAAACAACATAAATTACTAACATTTGACAATTTTTAATTTATGCCGATGTGTGTTTAATGTAAAAAAATATTTCATAATTTTGCGCCACCACCTCTCAAACAATGCGTGACTGGCTGCAAGAACAATATAAGACAGACTAGGTCATTGGTTACAGGCCCGTAGCCAGGGGGAGTTTGGGTGGTTCAAAAGACCCACCCCTCACTGACAGGTCCATACATGCTCATTGTTGACTGCTGTGCCATAATAAATTGTAAAAATAACCCATCAAAAAGGCATTAAGACCAAGCAGAATCCTGTGTTGGCTCTCGGTACAGAATTTGGGACACCGAATTTAGCACACCATGACTTCCTGTTCTGAAGTCACGTCATGCCAAATTCAGCATCCCAAATTCTGACTGAGGAAAGTTGAATGTGCTGGCCAGTTTGTAATTAGCCAAATAAATGAAAATAGTCTACAGTTTTTTTTTTTCTTTTTAAACTTTAACAGACTGCTATTTTTTCCAATGATATATGATATTATAAATTTGTATTTAAAAATTAAATATTTCATTCATAATTTTTTATTCTAAATCTGTAAAAAATGTTTTTGGTACATCAAAAATTGTGGTTATGATCACCATCCAACAAGCTAAAATGATGCTTAAAATGCCACTAAAATGGCGATGCAGTGGCACAGTAGTGCTGTCGCCTCACAGCTAGAAGGTCGCTGGTTTGAGCCTCAGCTGGGTCAGTTGGAGTCTCTGTGTGGAGTTTGCATGTTCTCCCTGCATTCAGGTGGGTTTCCTCCGGGTGCTCTGCTTTCCTCCACAGTCCAAATACATGCGGTACAGGTGAATTGGGGTAGGCTAAATAGTCCGTAGTGTATGAGTGTGAATGAGTGTGTATGGATGTTTCCCAGAGATTGGTTGCAGCTAGAAGGTCATCCGCCCAGATTAATAAAGGGACTAAGTCGAAATGAATGTCACTAAAATGCAGTGTTTGAACCTCATAAATAAATATAAAATAAGAATAACTGCAAAAAGGTTCTCTTGTTGAGAAAAAAAAAACACCCTTTTCACCAGGCTGGTTATGGACCTGGGTTAGAGGTGACAAACTCAAGACAGCTGTTTTTGGACAATCAGTTTTTTTCAGTCAGAGCAGCAGAAGGAGGGAATAAAACACCAGTAATATTAAAGAAAGTACCACTTTTAGCTCAGCTGTTTGGCTTAAAGAAAATCAGATCAGTAGTTGCATGTTTGATTTTATTTTATTGATGTATTGTATGTAGGGCTGGGCTAATTAGCAATAAGATATCCAATCGCAATAAAATGTATGTCGATAACAATAATCTCTGGACTTTTTTCTCCATACTGATGTAAGAGCCAATACCACAGCAGAAATGTGCAACAATGGGAATCTAGAAGTGTGTTGATGTTGGATATGCACTAAAACATTATCGACCACCAAAAATAGGTTATGCTATTTAATAGACCCTCTCATTTTTGTGGCTTAAGTCATTGTTGGGGTATTCTTTTAAATCTAGAAGCATTAACACCTGATATTGAAATAAACATCTTTGTTCAGTGTGGAAAATAATCCATCAAGGTTGCAGTTTTGCCATATAAACCAGGCCCAATTTTAAGTATATATTGTGCTTTTTAAAAATATTTTTAAACTTGTTACAACTTCCGCCCCAGGGACAACAGATGTAAATTGGCTTTAGCTAACTCTGGCACGTGTCATGTTGTACATTGTCCCTGAATAAATAAATAGTTTACTTCAAATATAAAAATAAATTGTTCAAACAACTTCTATACAATAAGCGGAAAAAACACAAAATTCTTGAGTTTTTGAGGGGACAACTTAATTGTTTATTGTTCAATCAAATTAATTTGTAAAAAAAAAAAAAAAAAGAAAGAAAGAAGTTAAGTACACCAGTGGTTCCCAAACTTTTCAGCCCACGAGCCCTAAATAACAATGCCAGTGACTTGCGACCCCCAAATTCCTTGGAGGTGGTTATAAATATACATAGTTGCACACACATCAATAGGCCAGTATAAACACAAGCATATCGACAACACAAAAAAGTGCAAGTCTAACAACCATTTCATTTTCATAGTCATTTATTAATTTAATATTAAACTCAGCTAAGACTGGTGGACACAATGTTTTCAGCACAAGTCTTTTCTTAGTTTAATTTTGGAGAGCACCAATCAGAGATCATTTCCAATGTATTTGATTGCCATAAAGGTGTCAAAGTTTAACCTGGTCCTATAAAATTAATCTGCTGCAGCTGACGCTATTGCTGTGTTTTTAATCTAACGTAAACACATCATTCCTATGAAAAAAAAATTAAAGCTGATGGATTTTCATTTGCAGGTTGTTGTTTATTACTATTAAAAACTTCTATTTTTAACTTGGGTTATGGTTAAAAAAGGGGTAATTCTATTAGTTTAATCACATTTATTTGATTTTAGGAAAATTACCAAGCCACCCCGTATTAGTCCCAGCACCCCCACTTTGGGAACCACTGATCTGAACTCCATGTTGTCCCAACAGAAATTGATTGAAAAGTAAATCAGCCAAAATAACATAAAAAAAATAATAATAATCAAGCTAGACATTTCACATTACTCTTGTAAAATTAAAAATAAATCCCACTTAAGTTTTTTCCCCCCACTAAACGATGACAACTATTAAAAAGGTTATGTTGTACAATCAATACTCAAACAAAACCACTCAAATCATGTCTGTCTAAATCCTTTATTTTTATTTTGAGTGCCCCTAAAATGAAGGGGTAAAAGAAGCATTGTGAACGATTTGCACGCAGTTACATTCCATTTAAAAATCAAGTAGAGATGGTGCTGAAGTATTTACAGGAAAAAAGGAAGAAAAAAAATATCTACTTGACGATTGCACTGGCAACTTTTCAAACATTTGTGGAACTCTGCTGGAATAAAAAACACTTTGACTGCATTACACATGACAGGGCAACGGTTTGATCTTAAACACTTCAGAACATCATTCTCATTGAAACAGGAATATTTCAAGAAAGAGAGAACAAACAAAAAAAACTTCAAATTGATACCACTGAGGGAAAAAAATAACATGAAAAAGCCATTTTCAACATCTTAAAATCCAGCAATGACAAAAGCCAATACCAATACATAATGCTGCGGTATTGCACAATGCAGCTGCTGAGGATTTGAGCACCTGTTTTAGTGATTCATGACAGTAAAAATCAAATGAGAACGGACCGATAACATCTACAAACTGTTCAGCGATGTCGTTTCTGATAGCTCCTTTTTCCACACGCTTGATTTACCCAATTGTATGGCACCAGTACCTTCAACTAACATTTCAACTTAACGTCCTTACAACACTAACAAAGTTCACCTACAAAAGAAAAAACAAAACAAAATTTAAACAAGCAATATTTCTATTAAATCTCACTCATGCGCGCACACACCCACACAACTGCTACAGAAAATTATGAGAAAACATGGGGGGAGGAAAAAAAAAAAAAAACAATGTGCCTTTCACTTCCAATCATTCCATCCAACTTCCTTCCTTCAAAATGCCATATACAATGTAGTGGATGGAACAGGAATGGGTGAAAGTATGGGATATAACAGAAGGTTTGAAATGTCATTGGTTTTTGTACAAATTTTCCATGTTTGTGCTCCTCGGACTTCATCTAAAAACGGGCCTTTCACCTCCTCCATCTTACTCTGTGGCAGCGGCTGGAGCCTCTGAGCTTTCTGCGGCTGCTGGTTCCTGAGGAGCCGCCTCTTGCTTCTCCTCAGCTGGCTTTTCCTCAGCTACCTCGCTGGCTGGTTTCTCCTCACTGCTTTCAGCTTTTGGTTCCTCAGCTTTGGGTTCCTCAGCTGGAGTCTCCGCCTTGGCCTCTTCGCTGGAAGCTTCGGGCTTGGCCTCCTCGGGTTCAGCATCTTTCTTCTGCTCTCCATTCTCAGCGGTGGCCGCCGCCGCTTCTCCACCTTCAGCTTCTTTTTTGGCGCTCTTCTTAAAGGAGAAACCGCTCAGCTTGAATGGCTTCTTAAAGGAGAATCGCTTTTTGGTTTTGGCAGGCTCGCTGCTAGTAGCTGCGCTTTCTTCTGTCTTGGTGGAGTCTTCACCATTTGCAACAGCAGAACTCTCTCCTTCACCCTCCGGAGCGGCCTTCTCTGCGTCTGCTTCCTCTGCCTTTCCCTCCTCGGCTTTTACCTCCCCATCGGCAGCATGCTTTCCATTGGCTTGGACATCTTCTGCTGCCGCTTCAGCATTCGGAGAGGCATTCCCGTTGGTTTTAGCATGGCCATTTTCCTGAGGAAACATGAAATGTATAGTTTTTGCATTGTGTATCATTTTAAACTTTTTTGCATACATTGTGCACTCAATAAAAGGTGAAAAGCTGTATTAAAAGTAAGCTATAGGATCGCCACGTGGGTAAAGTCTCATGCACTTTGTCTGGCTGATGCTGTTGCCATCTAAGTGAAAGCGTTGCAAGATGGACGAGTGGATCCTCCAGCGCTGGAGGATCAAACCGAGGAGACCATCGTGTTGAGCACACAAGCAGTCTTACAAGGCCACTTCTCTCACTACAGCCATTTCTCATGTTAAATCTACGGATTGGGTCTCGTGGCTTATTTGTACATCCATTTTATCAACTAGATGCGATAAAGGCGTGGTGATTTTACAGTAATGGCCATCCACGACGGAAAAGCTTGATAAAGCTGCGAATATTAAACATTTTCCAAAGGAAATCCTCGTGTTATCGCCGAATTTCGGTTTAATCACAATTTTTTCATTTACGATTTTAAAATTAACTTGACGTTAAGAGCTCGGCTTGCTTTTGGGTGGTCTGTTACAATAAACGTGGAAATGTGAAAAACAGATTTTCCCCCAACTCGAAGCCGTTCACGCGCACCATTCATTTTTAATCTACAACAGCATCGATATTTACTAAAATTGCTATATTTCGTGGAAACCGGAGAGTCCCTTTGTTGATCGGCTCATTGTTCATTTGAACCGACTTGGTTTTTGGTAACCGCACACCCCCTCATAACATCACACGCCTGTAGAAAGATGATAATTAAAGTTATTACCTGCCCGTTTGATTTATTTGCAGCCTCCGCGGGTTTTTCGGCAGCAGTCTCGTCTTTTGCTCCGTTTTTGGAGATTTGTGCTCCCATGCTTTCACACGCAACAAAGAATCGCAGATCAAATGAATGAACAAAGAGCGCGAGCTTCTCCCTCACAGACGCGTCGCGTGCGCGCTCTCAAGAGCGTCTGTTTTCAAATAAAACCGCGGAAAAGAGAAAGCGAGAGGCGAAGCTGTGATCTACTGATCCCGGAGAAGTAATAATTACAGCACTCTCTTAAATAAAATATATTATTTTGGGATACGAGATGGAGATAATGAAATTGTTCTCTTTTGATAATGAGATGCGAGATACAACGCCCAAATACCCCTGACGTCACATAAAGGCGGCGTGAGCCAATCAGAAGCCTGCGTGAAGCAGGGGGGAGGGACTACAATCACGCACTGGAAGGGGAGGAAGGGCGCGCAACCAGCAACTGGTGATTCAGAACCAGTAAATACAGTCACAAATTGCTTTGCCTTTATTTTTATTTCGAAACATAATTTTCTTGGGGGGGCTTCATGTTTTAACTCAATAAATTTATGAAAAACTCTCTTTTTGATTCATTTTTTACTTCGCAAATGCAAAAACACCGTAGATCTAAATGGCTGAGAAGTATTTGTGAAGCCACATGATCTATGTAGACACCACCTGAGCCAACACACACATTTGTAAGCATTTCATTCCTGATGCTCCAACAAGCGTTGGATTACAATTTTCCAACATAAACATCCAGTCACACATTGCATGCATGATGAATTCATTCTGAGGAATCCTGGTGACCTAGATTCAGTCATAGTTTATTGTCAGCCCAGACGGAGCTGTTTTCAATGCACTGAAATAGTCTAAAGTGCGCTTTCACATCACCATACTAACTCACGTCGCCATGGCAACTGCTCAACATCACAGCAGACTGCTCATAAACAATAATAATATTGTAAATGTGCAATGGTCAAATAAATATTTGTTTACATTGGAACGAGGAAATGATCTTCCTGAATAATAGAGAAGGAGTAAGAAGATTTCAGACCACAAACTAAGATTAAACTGGGCATTTGTCCTTAAAAACATAGATGATCTGTTTTATATATGATTTTAAATAGTCATCTACCAATGTTGGTTAGATAACCTGTCTGTTACAACTTGACTGTAATTCATCCATTCATTTTCTTTTCGGCTTAGTTCCTTTATTAATCTAGGGTAGCCACAGCGAAATGAACCGCCAACCTATCCAGCATATGTTTTATGCAGCGGATGCCTTTTCAGCTGCAACCCATCACTGGGAAACAACCATACACACACATACACTATGGACAATTTATCCTACCCAATTCACCTGTACCGCATATCTTTGGACTTATGGGGGAAACCGGAGCACCTGGAGGAAACCTACACGAATGCGGGAAGAACATGCAAACTCCACACAGAAATGCCAACTGACCCAGCCGAGGCTCAAACCAGCAACCTTCTTGCTGTGAGGCAACAGCAATTGTATAATTGTAGCCTGTTATTAAATACAAATAACCTCAAAGCCTATATATTGTAGCCAGTGGCTAGATTGGTTATTCTAGGTCATGTTTTTATTGGATCACTTGTATATTTTTCAATTTGATGTATTATTTTTTATTTAGATTGGTGCCCAAATAATGGCGACACGGTGGCTTAGTGGTGAACACAGTCACCTCACAGCAAGAAGGTTGTTGGTTTGAGTCCCGGCTGGGTCAGTTGGCATTTCTGTGTGGAGTTTTCACGTTATACTCAAGTTGTCCTGTGTTTCCTCTGGGTGCTTCGGTTTCCCCCACAGTCCAAAGACATGCGCTATGGGTGGATTGAATAAACTAAACTGGGCGTAGTGTATAAATCTTTGTGTGAATAACTATGTATGGATGTTTCCCAGTGCTGGGTTGCAGCTGGATGGGCATCCGCTGTGTATAACATATGCTGGATAAGTTGGCGGTTCATTCCGCTGTGGCGACCCCTGATGAATAAAGGGACTAAGCCGAAGGAAAATGAATGAATGAATGGTGCCTAAATTCAGAAGCATGGTACACAAATTACTTAATATAATTTACAATGACAATTCTATGCTATGAATATTCTAATCTGAACAATATGACATACAGGAGAATAAAAACAATCGAAGGGAATTAGCTAATTTACTGCCACTGTAAGAATAATTAATAATTATGCAATTCATATAAAACATCAGTATCATTGAAGCATCACAAAAGCATTTTCATTCATTCATTTTCCTTCAGCTTGGTCCCTTTATTCACCAGGGCTCGCCACAGTGGAATATACCAACTATTCCAGCATATGTTTTAGACAGCAAATACCCTTCCAGCTGCAACCCAATACTGGGAAGCTTCCATACACACTCATTCATAAACATACACTACGGACAATTTAGCCTGCCCAATTTACCTGTACCACATGTCTTTGGACTGTGGGGGAAACCGGAGCACCCGGAGGAAACCCACGCGAATGCAGGGAGAACATGCAAACTCCACACAGAAATGCCAATTGACCCAGCTGGGACTCGAACCAGCGACCTTTTCGTGCTTCGCCCAAAAGCATTTTCAAAGATAAAAAAAACTCTCTACATAATATAAAGTGACTCAACAAAATATTTACAAGTATAAACTGTATTAAAATATTTCAGAATCTCAGTACTGCTGGCCAACGCTCCAGTAACAGATGTTGATGTAGGCCGGGAGTCCTCTGGCAGAGTTTCATTTTCAAGATTAAAACTGATAATATTGAAAATGCTTGAAAGTCAGCCCAAACCATGATCTGTTTTTGCTGATTACTTGTTTTGAATACATCCGTAGCACTGCATGTCATATGCATTTATTGCCATGTTTAGAACACTGTTGCCAGAGTAAAATACTGTGATTTTCCCCAGACATATAAAAATGTTTACTAGCAGCATGGTGGCTCAGTGGATTTGACTGTCACCTCACACGCAAGAGGGTCATTGGTTCAAGTCTTGGCTGGGCCAGATGTCATTTCTGTGTGGAGTTTGCATGTTCTCTTCGTGTTCGCGTGGGCTTCGTACGGGTGCTCCAGTTTTCCTATACACTATAAATGAATTGAATAAACTAAATTGGCTGTAGTGTATGAGTGTGTTTGTCAATGAGTGTGTTTGTAAAACATATGCTACATGGATAACCACCAACTATTCCATTTTTTTTATACAGCGGATGCTCTTCCAGCCACAACCCAGTACTGGGAAACACCCATACACAATCTGACAAACACCCCCACACATACACTACGGCCAAGTTAGCTTATTTAATTCACCTATAGCTAGGGCTGTGCGATTTATCAAAATCGAATCGCCATTTGAAAGAGACTGCAATATATCCATGCTGGATAAGTTGGCGGTTCATTCTGCTGTGGCAACCCCGAATTAATAAAGGGACTAAGCCGAAAAGAAAATGAATGAATGAATGTAAACAAAAATAACGAATAACATCTTCAAAACCAGTCTGCTATGCTTTAGAAAATGAAACATGCTAGACTTGCTGCCATGGTGTTGTGAAGCATCGCAGACATGGTATCGGTTATTGTAATCTATGCCACATTACACAAAAAGAAATGATTAAATCGTGTGTCATGATGTCCATTTGTTGTTTGCGACTCCTCACAACACCATACGTCAAGGAAATCATGCCGAAATCATGTGACCTGATCTGATTGGGATTTATAACTGGACAATTGAATGAGCACACTTTCGTTCTGCCCAATCAGAATTGCACACCTGAACTGCATCTGCTGCTTAAGAAGCGTTACTGAACAAATTAATATCAAAGAAAACCAGCATTTGTAATATGGGAATATTTTAGCTTCAAAGTCACAGACCACGGCTCTCAGATTATTGAGCTAAAGCCTGAATTAAATTAAAATCAACTCAAAGCTTAAAATAAATAAATAAATCAAATCGCAAATCAACACATCTGTCAAAAAATCCTAATTAAATATTTTCCCCAAACCACACAGTCCTACCCATGTCTTTGAACTTGTGGTGCATGCGCACATGCACTTTGGCACATGTCTTTGGATTTGTGGGGGAAACCGGAGCACCCACAGGAAACCCACGCAAATACAAGGAGAGCGTGCAAACTCCACACAGAAATGCCAACTGACCCAGCCAGGGCTCGAACCAGCAACCTTCTTGCTGCGAGGCGACTGCACTACACACTGTGCCACCATGTTGCCTTTCTATACTGCACTGTAAAAAAAAAAAACTGTTATTGTATAGAATTTTACCATTTTATATCACATTTTTCTGAAATACTGTTAAAAAACGCAAAATAACAGATTTTTACAGTGTGTGCAATAAAACATTATAATGAGCCTGCATAACTCCTCATTGAGTGATTCAATACCTACTTCAATATCTACAGTACGATTGGCTATTGTGGTCAAAAATCAGCAGACACAAAGTAGAAATGATTAGCCCTCCTGTAAGCTTTTTTTTTTTTTTAAATCTCAGTTTAATCTTTTAAACAGTTTTATAACTTATTTCTTATAACTGACTTTTGTCTTTGCCATGATGACAGTTTATCATATTTCATATTCATCCAATATATTCATATTTTGCAAGATACTTGTATTCAGTTGAAAGTGCAATAAGGCTTAACTAGGTTAAGCAAGTCACTGAACAATAGTTGTGTGTTCTGTAGTAAATCTAAAAAAATCTTAAGGGGGTTAATAATAATAATAAAATACATTAAAACCTTAAAAATATTTCAGAATTGGTTTTTTTTACTGCAGCTAAACTAAAATAAATGACATTTGTTTTTGTGAAAATGTCCTTGTTCTATTAAACATCACTTGGGAAATATACAAGTACTCTAGATAGTTTGGCAGTATGTTTTGCTTTTACTTTTGTTTCAGGATGCTTAATCCTGTAAAACCCGGCCTATAGTGCTGGTTAGCAAGTCAGTTGTCAAAAGTCAATTTTAATAATTAAAAAATAATTTATTCCCAAGATTTTTTTCTAAACCTTTATGACTTCCTGTTGTCTGTGAAGCGTTTAGTCTGAGTGTTAGGCTGTCATTCTGTCAAACATCTCCTTTTGTGTTGCACAGAAGAAAGAATGTCACCCAGGTTTCAGACAACATGAAGCTGAGCAAAATGTTCGCAGAATTTAAATTGGGTGAACAATCCCTTTTAAGTAATTTGAATATTTCCAACATTATCGCCAGAGGAAAGAATAAGATGCAGTTGAATGAACACATGCTGTCATAATATTTATCTGGGTACGTAATCATAATGGAACGCAATTTT